TTGTTTCTGCAAATATATCACTATTATCATTCAACAATTGACTCAACTCCAATTCTTCTTGTCTATTTAAATCTGTGTCAGAAATGTTATGTTCCATGTCGAGTTTCTTTCTTGTAATATTCTGAATGTTGGGTTTTCTTTCTGTCAAGTGTATGTTTTTATGTGTGCTCGTCGATACATTGGAATCGTCCGAGATTTTCACCTCGTTTGACATATACTTCCCTATCTTTCGGGTTTAATATTTTAATCGGCATTTCATTATCTTTTACATTATAGTTTCTGATGTCACTGGAATCATAGTTTTCTTCAAGTTACCTGCGCGTATTTCTTTTATAATAATTATTTGTTTCGCACGCAATCAATTATAGCGTCATGTTTTCCTAACAAAATTATTATATTTAACTCTATCATCTATTATATAAAAGGGATTATTACTCGGTGTTTCCAATTACTGTTTGATGTAAACAAGATCTTTTAAATGAACCAATGCACCATTAATCGTCTCATCCATGTTGTGTCTAGGGGGGTAAATGTTGCATCGTTTCAAATGTGTATTTTCATTCATGAATTTTTCAGAAATCACTGATAAGTGGGGCCCCGTATCCTACTAGGCTGTGGTGTTAACATTACATAGTTTCAATTGTATATAATTATCACGTAGAATACTTGTTGATAAAACATTTATAATGAGGTACGTTTTGATATCTAATTTCGGTGGAGTTTTTTGTAAATTTGACCCCCACAAACTCTGTATTTTGTAGCGGGCCTTATTCGTTTTAAATTTGTTGTGGTTCCACTGAACGACAATTGCTAGCAATATGACCCCTTTTATTACATGCATAACTTGTTATCTGTTTGGGGCGACTTAAACTTATTTGCGATGTGCTCCCTTTCCCCACAACTGTATTGTTATAATTCATACCTCCTCTCATCTGAACTCTTGAAGTTTGCTGTGTGTTGCGGATATGTGTGTAATAGGTCGACCTATTAGGAGAGGAGTAGAACGATATGTTGTATCGTTGTTGATTGTTCTGTTCCTTTAGTTCTTTATTTTAGATTATTAACTGTTCTGTTTTCTGTATCTCTTCTAATTCTTCACCTGTACGGCTTGTTGCCGTGTTTCCCTGTTGTATCCTAGATGTTCTCTGGTCGATGTCCTATTACGTACGCTCGAATAGCCGGTTTTAGTCCTATCATGAAGTAGTTTAGCTGTTCTTGTGGGCTTTTACTCAACTCTGCGCACATATATCTGATGTCGTGATGTATTTATCATGATTTATATTTCAGTCAGTTTGACAGTGGTTGCCATGACATATACTGATAAAGGT